CAAAAAAAAATTTTCATTCAAAAATCCAGCCTTGAGCTCTACTTCTAGGTGGAAAATAACTTTTTTAAATCCACGCCTTGAGCACTACTTCTACTTGGAAAATTCTTCTTTGAAAATCCACGCCTTGAGCTCCACATCTCCTTAAAAAGTTCGTCTTTAAAAATCCGCGCCTTGAGATTTACATCTCTCTTAAAAATGTTTTTTTAAAATCCCACGCCTTGAGAACTGATTCTTCCTGAAAAGTCCATTTTAAAAAATCTACGCCTTGAGCTCTACTTCTCCCTGAGAATTTCCTCTTTAAAAAATCCACGCCTTGGGCTCTACTTCTCCCTGAAATATTCTTATTTACAAATCTATTCCTTGGACTTAATGGGTCCTTGAAATTCATCTTTTATAATCCACGTTGTGAGCTCACTGAGTTCTTGAAAAAATTATATTTAAAAAAAAATACACGCCTTGAGCTCTACAGCTCCTCGACAAATTCTCCTTTAAAAAATCCACGACTTGAGCTCTACTTCTACTAAAAATTTACTTAACATTTTTTTCAGAACCGCCCCCATTTATCCTTCAAAATTTCTATTAAAAAATCCACGCATTGAGTTTTACGTCTATTTGAAAAAATCCACACATTCTTTAAAAATCTCCGCTTTCAGATCTACTTTTTCCTGAAAAATTCTTCTTTAAAAATCTACGTCTTGTGCTCTATATCTCTTTGAAGTCAGCTAATGAAAACTTAGTTCCACTGTGGTACAACATCTCCAAAAATAGTAGTTGTAATATTCATTTATGGAAAAGCTTTCTTGTTGTTGTTTCTGCTGCTGTTGTTGTGCAGCTATTTTTATTTGCGCTTGAACCAGGCCTTAAAGATGTCTTGCTCTGCCATAAATTAAATAAAAAAACATATTTTTGGGCATAAATGAAGGTTAGCTGCTTGTTTTTCATGCTGATGACTACCCACTTACCCTACCACCGTTTCAAGCAGCCAACTTTCACTTGTAGGAAATTATAACTAAAGTTTTAATAATAAAATAATGAAAACGACGACAACAACAACAAGAAATGGCGTATTTCATAGCCCATGGCTCCCGAGTGTAAGCGACATATTGTTCGGCAACAACGAGGCATTTTCATAATTAAAGAAATGGCCATTTAATTAAAAAAATACAGAAACATAGCCCTCCAAGTGTATTTCAGGTTCCGACTCGCTGAGTTATATTGTTGTCATCTATTTGGACAACAGAAATACTGATGATGATAACATAATTTTTGATTAAGCCTAAACTATGAGAGGAAATATTTTGAAATGTGGAATAATGCCAAAGTCACTAAAATGTTTGAAAATTAAAAAAAAACCTAAACACAATAGGTGGACCCTTTAAGTCTGGCCAGGTTGGCTGTAAGCCAAATCAGTGGCCATTTTTGGGGTGGGGGAATTATTTGGTAATATGCAGACACCAAGGGGTCTCTCGGAGGCTATTTATAAATTCATCATAAATTTACAATTTTATTAGGCCGAACTTTTGTAAGCGATCATGTTGTATTTATGGCCAAAAAAACCGATCAATATTTTTTACAGCATTTTGTTGTCAGCTATTAATTTCAGTTTTGTTGTTGCTGATATCGAGATCATCAAATTAAATGATGTTGCTGTTTTTTTGTTTTTGTTAATTAATTAAAAACTCTAAAATTTGTTGTATTTTTTATTTGCATTTTTATTTTATTTTAAAAATAGTTTGGCATTGTAACGCTAACCCGTTTTCTTGTCTATGGGTTAGTTTTAATTGCCCCTAGCCAAGTTTATAAGTAACAGTGAAATCATAAAACTTTTTATAGTTTTTATGAAAAACGGATTTTAATTTCATTTTTATATACCACGTTGGAATCTGATAATTCTACTAAGTAATCGCTGAATTAATTGTTACAATTCTGAAAATACAAAATTTATTGACACTATTTTTAAATTCTATTGACGTGCGCTGCTAATTTTTTTAATAACTTGTTGTTCATGGGAATTTAATGGGGAATTAGTCATAGGGGAAAATTTAAAAAAGTGGGTATTTTAAAGAATAATTTTTCAAGCGGAAGTAGAGCTTAATGCGTGGATTTTTTAAAGAAACTTTTCAAAGAGATGTAGAGCCTCAAGGCCTGGATTTTTTTATAGAAACTTTTCAAAGAGATGTAGAGCCTCAAGGCGTGGATTTTTTAAAGGTGAATTTTTCAAAGAGATGTAGAGCCTCAAGGCGTGGATTTTTTAAAGGTGAATTTTTCATGAAGAAGTAGAGCTCAAGGCGTGGATTTTTTAAATAAACTTTTCAAAGGGATGTAGAGCCTCAAGGCGTGGATTTTTTAAAGAAGATTTTTTCAAGGAGAAGTAGACCTCAAGGCTTGGATTTTTTTAATGAAGAATTTTTCATGGAGAAGTTGAGCCTCAAGGCGTGCATTTTTTTTAAAGAAGAATTTTTCATGGAGACGTAGACCTCAAGGCGTGAATTTTTTAAAGAAGTATTTTTAAAGTAACTTTTCAAAGAGATGTAGAGCCTCAAGGCGTGGACCTTTAGGCGTGGATTTATTTAAAGAAACTTTTCAAAGAGATGTAGAGCCTCAAGGCGTGGATTTTTTAAAGAAACTTTTCAAAGAGATGGAGCCTCAAGGCGTGGATTTTTTAAAGAAACTTTTCAAAGAGATGTAGAGCCTCAAGGCGTGGACCTTTAGGCGTGGATTTATTTAAAGAAACTTTTCAAAGAGATGTAGAGCCTCAAGGCGTGGACCTTTAGGCGTGGATTTATTTAAAGAAACTTTTCAAAGAGATGTAGAGCCTCAAGGCGTGGATTTTTTAAAGAAACTTTTCAAAGAGATGTAGAGCCTCAAGGCGTGGATTTTTTAAAGAAACTTTTCAAAGAGATGTAGAGCCTCAAGGCGTGGATTTTTTAAAGAAACTTTTCAAAGAGATGTAGAGCCTCAAGGCGTGGATTTTTTAAAGAAACTTTTCAAAGAGATGTAGAGCCTCAAGGCGTGGATTTTTTAAAGAAACTTTTCAAAGAGATGTAGAGCCTCAAGGCGTGGACCTCTTTAGAAAGGTCCTCAAGGTGTGGATTTTCAAAAAGGGACCTCAAGGCGTGCATTTCTTAAAAAGGACCTCAAGGCGTGGATTTTTTAAAAAGGACCTCAAGGCGTGGATTTTTTAAAAAGGATATCAAGGCATGGATTAAAAAAAATGCCCTCAAGACGTGGATTTTTAAAAAGGCCCTCAAGACGTGGATTTATAAAAAAGGACCTCAAAGCATGGATTTTTATAAAGGGACCCTAAGGATTGGATTTTTAAGATGAACCTTAAGAAGTGGATTTAAAAAAAATACCCCAAGGCGTGGATTTTTCAAGAAATAAAGGACCTCAAAACGAGGATTTTCAAAACATAAAGGACCTCAAGACATAGATTTTTCAAGAATTAAATGATCTCAATACTAGGATTTTCAAGAATTAAAGGACCTCAGGACGAGGATTTTTTAAAAAAGATTTTTTTTTTGAAAGGCCTCAGGCTTGGATTTTTTAAAAAAGATTTTTTTTTAATGGAGAAACTACACGCGCTGACTTTTTAAACATATTTTTTAACTGTTATACAAGGCGTGGATTTTTTAAAAATATTTTTTTAACTGTTATACAAGACGTGGATTTTTCAACTGTTATACAAGGCGTGAATTTGTTCAACTGTTATGCTAGGCGTAGATTTTCAACTGTTATACAAGGCTTGGATTTTTCAACTATTATACAAGGCGTGTATTTTTTCAACTGTTATACAAGGCGTGCATTTTTTTCAACTGTTATACAAGGCGTGAATTTTTTCAACTGTTATACTAGGCGTGGATTTTTCAACTATTATACAGGGCGTGAATTTTTTCAACTGTTATACAAGGCGTGGATTTTTCAACTGTTATACAAGGCGTGAATTTTTCAACTGTTATACAGGGCGTGAATTTTTTCAACTGTTATAAAAGGCGTGGATTTTTCAACTGTTATACAAGGCGTGAATTTTTTCAACTGTTATACAAGGCGTGGATTTTTCAACTGTTATAAAAGGTGTGGAATTTTTCAACTGTTATACAAGGCGTGGATTTTTCAGGTGTTATACAAAACATGGAAAAGTCGAATTTTTAAGAACAATTTTGAGGCCAATTTTTCATTTATTTTTTAATTTTTTAAAAATATTTTTTAGAAGAAAAGCATTTTTTTTTTTTCAAAGGTCAGAATATAATTCAAAATAATATTTTGTTTTAAAATCCGACAATAATTTTTTTTATTATTTTTATTTTTAATTTCGCCGATTTTTTTACTTTCCCCAATTTTTTATTTTCCCAAATAGTTTGAAATAAAAAAAATTGTTTTAATTTTCATATTTTTTAAAGTAATGATTTTTTTATTTTCATAATAATATATTTTTTTAAATTTTGTTTTTGTTTTTTTCACTAAATTTCTTTTCTCATATATAAATAACTTAAAATTAGTTAACACACATTAATTTATACATTACGGTATATAAATAAGTATACAGTCTAATTTTTTGTTTTATTTAATTTTTTTATATATAAATAAATAATATTAAGTAAATTATAATTTGTTAACACACATATACATACACAGATGATATATATATATATGAGGTTAATAAAATTGATTAATCACAGTTTAGGACTATATAAAAAAATTTCTATAAGTATACATCGGATATAAATATGCAATAGACAAGGGAAGGGGAAGTACAAATGGGGACAACTCCAACAGAAACAAACGGAGTTCAAATTTAATCTCGAATTTAAAAATCTCAGTGTCCTTTCTTTATGAAATCGCGATTTTTTTTTTAATTTTATAAAAAATTGATAATTTTCTTTTATCCTCTAAGTCTATTGCCTTTGGTTAATGATTCTAAGTTTAAGTTCTATTATCACAGTCTTACGGGAATTGTTTTTTTTTTAAATAAAAGTCTTTTTTATAAATTTATAAAAAAATTATGACTTTTCTGGTTTATCACTGGTTTTTGTAGAAGACGATGTCTTGTCCGTAGAAGACTGTGTTTTAAGACCTGGCAATTTCTCATTTACCAAACTTAGGCTAGTCAAACTGTAATGTGGTGGAGAGGAGGTGGGAGGTGGTGTGGTCATCACAGCTGTGGCAGATGATGTTACCAAAGGGGTTATAACAAAAGCCTGTGGCGTTTTGCTGTTGTTATTGGCATTATCGGCCAACAAAGGTGTTGAACTTTCTGCTGCAACCACGACCTCTGTTGTGGGAGTTGGAGGTTGTGTTGTTGGATTTCCTGCAGCCATTGACATTTCTGGGTTTTGTGATTTTTCATTGCAATTGAAAACTTCAAAAACACTAGGATGTACAATGAGACAGGATTGGGGATTTTTATGCAATAGCTCCAGGGCTGCCTCGTACGAGGGTAGACCGGAAACCAAGGTGTACTCGGGAACAGGATCCTCAAAATCCAAATTGATTTTTACATTATCCTCATCATCACTTTGGGTCATTGTGTGGCGATCTGGAAAAATAAATAAGAAAAAAGGAAATTGATTAGTAAACATGGTTTTGGAAAAAGAACATGGTTTGACATGAAAAATAAAATCTGTGTTTATTTTATCTGTTTGAGATTTGGAAAAAATGCCTTATTTTCTTTTACTACCGCTTTTTGGTAAATATTTACTCAGATGGTATGTGTGTTGATTTAGGGAAGTAAACATGATGTATCTTGAATGTCTAGAAATTTTGCTTGTGTTATCATATCATTTATTTCTGACAGCAGTCATTTTGAAAATTAAATTTTTTGAGATGTTCTACAATTTTCTGTTTGCCAAAAAAATCAAAACCAAAACCTTAGAAAATTTTGCAGGTTTTTTTGGTTTGGCTATCTGTGATTTTTATAAGCGATTAAAATGTTTTTTTTTTTTTTTTTTGATAATAGAAATGTTAATAACGAAATTTATGACCTTGTATTTTTTTGGCAAAAAATAATAATACACCACTTATCAGCCATTTGGAAAAAAATGGGTTATTACGTTTTAGTGGTTGGGTTGTTTTACGGAAGCTTGAGTCAGGAGTTTTTTGTTTGTTATAAAAATAGAAATTGCGTTTTTTATGTTTTAACCGATTTTTTATTATAAAAATTTTTATTATTTTTAACCTTATTATTTTTTTAATATTTTTGTTAATTATAACTATTTTTTTTGTTATTTGAAAAAAAATGTTTTGTTGTTTATAACCGATTTGTTTCTAGCTTTATCAATAAAAAATAAAATTTTTTTTTGTTAAAAAAAATTTTTCAATATTCTTTAAACGATGTTGTTTATTTCTAATTAAAAAAATATTTTTTGTCATTATTTTTTTAATTTTTTTTTAACAAATTTTTTCCACCGGCTCAAAATAAATGTTCTAAGTAATTTACATTCGATTTTTTTCAAAAAAAATTCCACTTTTTCCCTATATATTTTTTTTATTTAAATATGTAAATATACCCCAACAGCTGACACTATTTTCGCTGAACATATCAGCCGTTTTTTTGTCTCGACGTTGATATGAAAAAACGTGAGTTATAAAAAATCTGAATCTGCATATGTCCGTTCTATTGTTTAGTTGGCTAACAAGTTTTTTTGTTTTCTTTTGTTATTGTTTTGTTGTTATTGGCCAATTATCATAATATATAAATAACCAAGAACTTTAGCGGCTTGATCGGCTTCTTTTCTTTCAGATTTTTTTGCCTATTGAGAGGATTTATTTTCGAAATCCAGACCGGATCTATTAAAAACGAAATTTAATGTTGTGAGGTGGTTTTATGCAAAATGTCTGGCTATTTTAGGTCAATGGTCTTTAATCAATTTTTTAATGAAAAGGGTATCATCGAGAGGTGTTAAATTTTTTTTCAATGGGAGAAAATTTCTACAGTAGAAAGTAGAGTATCGGATATAGAATTTTTTGCATATAAACGATCCATCAAGGTATTAGTCAAATCTTCAAATATTCGTTAACAGTTGATAGCATATATTAGGATGGTCTGGAGACCCGCAAAATTTGTCACCATAAGTGATAGTCGTTATAACCAATATTAAATAAAAGAGCAAAAACTTTTTTCAGGACTTCTGAATAAAAACGTTAAAACCGGCATGTCATTAAAATCGGTATCGTAATAAGCGATTTCGACGATATGTGGGAATTTAATTTTGGGTACACGCATATTATTTTAATTATAATATTGAAAATATGTTAATAAAAATGTTAATTTTTCCTTATAGAGAATATTTTCGGTTATAAGCAACACGTGCTTTTAATGATTTTTTTCACTTTTTTTTGCAGGACTCTGTACTAATTTTCATAGGTAAGGCCAGTAATCACAAAAAATCTCAATTTTCTTTACAAAATTTTGTAAAAAATTAAAATTTTCGGTTATAAGTAACAAATAAATCGGTTATAAAAAACAAGTCTTGTGGATTATTTCAATAAAAATCACAATTTGGTGGAAAATTAAAAACGAAATAAATGAATATTTCGCAAAAAAAAATCAATTTTCTTTACAAAAATTTGTAAAAAAACGAAAATTTTCGGTTATAAGTAACAAACAATTCCGTTATAAAACATAAATTTGGTGGATTATTTCAATGAAGATCGCTAATTATAAACAAAATAAATTCAAATCCTTTAAAATGTCACCAAAAATCTCAATTTTCTTTAGAAAAATTGTTAAAAAACGAAAATTTCGGTTATAAGTAACAGTTATAAAACACAATTTTTTGGAGTATTTTCATAAAAATCACAATTTAGTGGCAAATTAAAAGCAAAAACAAAATGAATTCTTTAAAATTTCGATTTTCTTTACACAAATTTGTAAAAAACGAAAAATTTCGGTTATAAGCAAGAAAAAAATTTCGATATTATTCAATAAAAATTATGGATTATTATTTCAATAAAAATATCTATTTTTTTGAATTTTTTTTAAGTATTTCAAATTATCTTTTTTTGTTTTTGACTTTTTTAATATCTTAGAGTTTCATATAAAAAATTATTATTTTTTTATAATTTTTAAATACTTAAAATTTTTATTTTTTGAACATTTTTACATTTTTGAATTTTTTTTAATTTTTTCAAATTCTATTTCTTTTTTGTTCTTGACTTTTTTAATATCTTAGAGTTTCATATAAGCGATTTTTTTAATTTTTTTTATAACCATTTTTTTTAAATTTTCAAAATTTCTCTACTATTTTCCCAAAACCAAAAATTTTCTTTTGTTTTCAAAAATTTCTCACGCTTTAGAAAAATAAACCCCAAATTTCTTTTCAATACATTTTAAGCCCTACATTTCATTGTTTTTACACCGGTAATGTGTGTTGTTGTTGTTGTGGTGGTACAACAAAACACTTGTAACTCTACATTTGTGGTTGTTGTTGTTGCTGTTGTCTGCCATAATTTTATAATTTATTGTTTCTTTTTCACATTTTTTTTTTTTTCGTTAACTCATTTCACTGGCCAAAAAAACTCAAAACCCCAAAGCTTTGAAAATAAATTTCTAATTGTTGCGTTAATTTCACTTCCGTTTTTGGACGTTAGGACGTTAATGGCTTTGAGCCAAAACTGCCACTCATTCACACATCAAGGTTTTGTAAAAACAAAACAAATTTCTTCTTCTTGATTAGAAATTAAATATTCACAGTAGTGAAAATAAAAATAAAATAAAATAGTTGTTACTTATATGCAAAATGCTTAAAACGTTTGGAGAATATGAAATTAGTTGTTTTGATTTGTTGTTGTAGTTTTTTTCTTTCTTTTCAAAATAGGCAACTCAAACAGATAAATAACAAATAGCTGCGCAAAAAATATTTAAATTTTCAATTCGATTTTCAAATACTTACAATTTCTTTTCCACACACGAAATTGATGATACAGGAAACAGGAACAGAAGCAAAACACCATTGAAATCAATATCAAAATCAAAACAATGCCAATCCAAACTTCATTCATAAACTGATCGTATTCCACTTGCTTTTGCAGTTCATCCATGGCGGAATCATAGTGGACGGAGTCGATCACAACATGATGAGGAGTTTGGAAATTGGTAAAATCCATGTTATCGGTATTAATAACAGGCGATGATGATACGGCGGAGGCTGAGGGTAGATTCAGGGGTGAGGTTTGCAATTGTATGGAATTGATAATGGAGGCCCCCAATTTCGAGAGGAAATCACTGGTTGTGGTAATGTGATGGGAATTTACTGGCACTGCCGATGAATCCAAACTAGTAATTGTGGGCGTGGAGGTCAGTGTTATGGTATTCGCAGACGTATGATCCGTGTGACTATTTTCCAAAATATGTTGGGCGTCTTTATCGAATTGCAGATCGTAATTCAATGAGCGTATTATTCTTTCCATGGTGGATTTTTATAATATTTTCTTCTGCTGACTGATTGTTGTTACTTTTTTATTTTATTGTGGTTGATGACTGATTTTGTGTTTGTTTTATTTTTATATATTTTTTCTGTTTTAATATTTTTATCTTGTCTTTGGACTTTCACTGGGTATTTATTTTGTATTTTTTTTTCTTGCGACTTCTTCTTCTTTGCCACTTTTGTGTATTTGCGGATATAAGTAATTGTATATCTTTTTATTCACTTCGTTTTTTTGCGGCTTTTATTTATTTTTTATAAGAAAAAAAAATAATAACAAATCGTAAATGGAACGTAACAGAAACGTAAATATTTTTCTTTTAAATTTCGGGGCGAGCCGTTGACACGTCTTAAGCCTCTTAATTCTCGTCGTAAACTAAACTGTGCGGCCTAGCAAACCCCGGCCATAACCATATCAACAATGTGAAATGATCATATGAGAGAGAAAGAGCGGAGGGAGTGAGTTTCACACAGAGAGAGTGAAATTGTGAGAGAATTTAACTCAACATACGGAGTTCACAATGTGAACAAACAAAAGGCAATTGTAAAAGATTAAACAAAACCAAGCAAGCAACCAACGTGTGCTAGGCACTCGGGTTATTACTCTCCCACTGCTATACACAGTTACCTGGTTGCTTGTCTACCTTTTTTCGTTAGCCAGACACACGACTCACATTCACACACCGTCTTTGCCGTTGAAGATCTTGCACAAGCAAAACTAACTATCATTTGATGGCTGGTTACGGTCTAGCTAACATCATTCATTTCCTCTCTACTCATCTCTATGCACAGACACACACAAACTCTCCCCTATTCTTATGCTCTTCGTCTAAGACAAGTCTTCACCGTTGAAGATCATGCCCAAGCAAAATTAACTATCATTTGATGGCTGGTTATGGTCTAGCTATGCACACACACACACAAATTCTCCCCTATTCTTATGCTCTTCGCCTAAGACAAGCCTGGGAAAGAAAGCATGAAATTATTACAAATGCTCACACATAACATAGGCATTAAAAATAGGCATGCCATGCAAGGCAAAATGGGCATACGCATCATTTCCTTGGCTGGCTGGCACACAGGATCATTTCTCACGCACATGTTCCTCACAATAGCTGTAGGAGTTTAAAATTTCTTCAACTTCTTTATTTCCCCTCTCGCTCCCTCTCAAAGGTTTTGTGAACATCTCCTATTACAAAACGATCCTTCTTTTCAAATTCTATTGTCCTTTTATGCTTCAGTGCAGAATTTTTTTGTATGTATGTTCAGCATATGTCCTTAATTGTCTAACAGCCAGGCATTGTTCTCCGTCTTCGTCTTGAAAAATTTCTTCCCTTTTTTCCAATTGTTACTGGACAATGGTATTTAATTGAGCAGAGGATTTCATTTCAATTGTTTTCAATTGTCTTCTTATTCTCTTGCTTTGGGGAGGCCTTTGCATGGTTTTTAATTTCGCCTTTTGTTCTTCATTCCAAAAATAAATTTGAAAGAAATTTTATAAAGAAAACACACACACAAAAATTTGCATTTAATTGAAATCCTTAGACAGGACAATGCAAATTTATTTTGTTTTATTTGATATTTTGAGAAGTAAAGGAAGATTTCTTCCTAAAACAACAAACATGATGGCAATTTTGATTTTAAGATCCGACCATGATCATTATCCTTGCAGTCAAAATGGGCCATATGCAAAACGAAATGGTCATAACCGGAACAAATAACCATTTAAATCATGATACAGGATCTTCTGAAATGTAGATCGAATTTAAATTCAATTAAACAGCTGGTCAAGCTGGGGTCATATTAATGATTTTTAAAATAGGGGTCTATGATGGGAAACAATAAAAACAGAAAAATCAGGGCGCCTTGAAGAAATGAAGATATTCTTAAAGGCATGGTGAAAGTCACCTTTATACGTCCAAAAAAGCTAGCCATCATAGACGAGCAGAAGAAAATCGTTCATAGATGATCTGAGGTCAGTCGTTCATAGGCGGCTTGGAGAATGTTTTGGTTTGGAGGTTACAGTTTCCCTTCATAAAAGAAGCCTTAACAGGCAGATTCTTTCATAGACGAATTTATCGGAGTTAATAGAGGATCTGAACGGAGTTTTTATAGAAATGAAAGATGAAGTTTTTATTGTCGGTGTAAAGGACTCTTTATAGGGGGCTGAACTATACATCTAAAAACTATCAAAAGGGCGGATAGTCTCTTAGATGAGCTGAGGCGATTATATATGGATGCGCTGAAGTAGCCTGCAATAAACGAGCTGGGGATAGTTACTTATAATTGTGCTGGAGACACGATTAATTAGTTCGGGAGCTGATGGGAGTTTCGGTATACGAGTTGAAGGCCGGGAATCTTTGAAAACAACCTGAAGGTCAAAACGTCTTTTTTATAGTCGAGCTGAAGACAAGGACTCTAAATAGACTAACTGAAGAAAGAGAATCCTTGTATACCAATTGAAGGACTAGATCGTCTTTTTAGACAATGTAATAGCCGAAAGTATCTCTTAGGAGGCAGGATTTTTTAGTTCGAGAGCTGGTCTAGCCGGAGGCCAGGAATATTTGAAGGTGACCTGAAGGTCAAAGAAATCATTTTCATTGTCGAGCTGATGACAAGAACCCTAAATAGACTAACTGAAGATAGGGAGTCTTTGTAGACTAATTGAAAGATCAGATAGGACTAAGGGTTGATAGTGTCATTAGATGAGCTGATGCGAGAATATATAGAGATGAGCGGAAGGAGACTGCAATAGACGAGCTGCTCGAGATGTGATGAGTGTCTCTGTGGAAGAGCAAGAGACCCGAAGTTCTATCTGAAGGGTGAAGGAGACTTTCATAGTCGAGCTAAAGACAAGAACTCTAAATAGACTTTGTAGCAAATATCAATATACTGAAGACTGAAGGAGTCTTTAATAGAGTCTCTTATATTTAAACTTTTAATTCGTGGTCGAAATGAAGTCTCTATAGCTAGAGTCTGAGAGTCTTTGAACAAAACCGAAGTCGCAAGAGACTTTATATACGTGCTGAGGATATGGAGGCAGTCGACCAGATAGTCTTTGTAGACGAACGGAGAGCTGGGATCCTCTATAGACGAAGCCAGGGAGTCGTTGTAGACGAGCTCAAGGACCAAATAGATAAACGCATGGTGCAAGGAGGGATATTGAAGGGTTGCTTGTCTACCTTCTTTTGTAGAAGATTCTATGGAGACTTAACCCCTGGCAGGGAGTCTTTATAGCAGATATAAAGAGTCATTATATCTATAAGGGCGAACTAATGTGCCAATCTTTTTATAACACCTGAAGGTCAGGGAGACTTTTTAAGGCGTACTGAAGAACAGGAAGTCTTTAAGGTTATCTGAGGGCCAGGGAGTCTTGTTCAGGCTAGAAGAAGGGTCAACAGAACGTTTCCAGAACCTGGGAGACTTTATATACGAGTTGAGGGTCACATAGTCTTTGTAGACGAAGTGAAGGCCCAAGATTATTTTATGGAGTCTAAGTAGGCGGACTGAACAGCTGAAGCAGGGAGTCCTAAAGCAGAGAGGAAGGGAGTCCTAAAACAGAGAGGAGTGCTCTACAGAAAAACGTAAGGGTCATGAGTCTTTTTTTGTGTACTGATGAACAGGGAGCCTGTACAGATGATCTGAAGGCCAGGAGTCTTGTTTAGGCTAGAAGAAGGTCCAATAGGACATTTGCAGAACCAGGAGTCTTAGTCTGAAGCACCATCTATTTAGATAAGGTGAGGGGCCCTGGGGTTTATTTCTATGTGGATCTAGACAATCTAAATGAAGATGTCCATTTTAAGACCTGAATGGAATCAGGAGATCTATAAAAAATATTCTTAGTCTTTATATACAAGCTGAAGATGATATGAAGCCGCAGCAAGTCTATCTAGAGAAGTTAAATGTTTTGAGGGTAAATTCCGACAAGCTGTAAAGACAGGAGACCTAATATTCTAGCAAGCTGAATGACTATGGAGGTTGTAGAGACGATTTGAAGTCTTACAGAGCCTATCTAGACAAACTTAAAGGTTTGAGGACATATATCGACGACCTGGAAACCCGGAGTCTTACTAAGCGAGCAATATTACAATGGAGATTATTTAGGTCAGTTAAATGGCCAAAAGTTAAATATCAATTTACAGAAGAAAATCAGCCATGCTATGGTCTAAAGCACTACCTAGTCTATCTAGAAAAGCTCAACGATCGGACTTCTGGTCATTCTTGAAGAGCTATCTATGTGGGTGAGAAGCTTAAATAGGGTCTCTAAATGAACAGGGTGCCTATTTAAACGAGGGGTATATCCATATATGCCTAAAAATATGTATCCCATCGAAATGATCTCTTGGATAATGGAGGCTATAACCAGTTCAGGCCTTGTAGACCAGATATAGAGCCAATTAGATTGTATAGGAGTTACAAAATTAAACAAATTTCGTTGGTTTATAATTACCTTTAGCAGATTTTTTAAGATCAGAGTATCTAAATTAGACATAAATGAATTAGCGAAAAAATACCCGCCGAAGTGACGACAAATTGTGAAAATAAACCAATTTGTTCACAATCCTTCCGGAGATCTTTTAATTGCTGCCATATTTCAGCAAATACAATTATTTTGTTGTTTTTACTGTTCATAGTTAAAGGAACTACATTTTCATCATGATTTAAAAATAAAGAACAAAGATTATTTAATTGGTTTATTATCGCTCGCTAAATAATGTATGAATGCGAATTATGATAAAGTTACGATTGTTGTGAAAATAAAAAAATATCAGACGGCTACGTGATAGCAAACAGGCAGGTGGTAGTTTTGATGTTGGTACTTGAGGTGAATGAAGTAGTTGCTATTGATTTAATATGATTACTATCTCTCTCTCTTATATAAATTAATCAATGAGAGAGTCATATAAAACACGATGTCATATTTTATAAAATTTATATTTTTTATTTTAAAATCGTAGATCTATTACAATTATTTCCAATGAATTG